TTGTGATGCTTGTCAAGCTAGGAGAATCTTGCTTATTTTCACTTTGCGGTCTAATACTCACCAAATGTGCTCAAATTTAGTACAATATAGGTATCTTGAATAAGCGGAGGGGGGATAAAGATACTGCCGACTACAAAATAATGGTCATGAGGTTTGCGTAACAGATGCAGGTGTTTATGAATTAAATAGGTTTGTCTTGATAAAATAGAAATACATCAAAATCAAAATAGTTAAGCTATGGAATATGTAGACAATAAGTCATCGTCTCCTAGACGAGCAACTGTTTTGTCGCTAGTTAACCTGGGTATCATTTCGAAGCCTTTGCAGTAGGCAGCCGCCTCTGGTATCTCTTCTGGAAGAGATTTCAGCAGTTTTTCCGTCCACATACAATTCGCTCCTCGCTCTCACTGAACTCCTGTATATGTGTATTAATCGAACCCTCACTTCGGAAATACATTTTGTTTTCCACGATCATATATGTATATTGATAGCTATGGGTGAAGAGTAATCATTCCGAACCTTAGCGCTTACTGCAATGTTCTTAGTTCTCGTGTATCACCGTTTGAATTTACGTGACTTTGAGTGTCATGATAAAATTTGTTGTGGTTTGAAAGCTACAGGTCAGAATTTAAAATTGTCTTTGCAAAACAACTAAGAGGTTCATTCTTTCTAATCAATGATTGCTGTTTCATGTCCTATCCGAACTGCAGTATCACCCGATTTGTTTTGTGTACCACTTCAACGTGAGTCGGAGCAAAGGCAACTACTCCCTCGTTCGGCGTTTGAAAGAGTCATTTGGTATTTTCTCCGTTTTACACCAACTTCAGTTTTCACGGTTTGCCTGTTAGGGGCTCATCACGCAATATTCGAAAACGATCATCATTTGCGGTGTAAGAGTGTAGCAGTTTTGAGGATCGACTTGTAGAGATTAGAGAGGCTTGTTGTTGAAAGTGCCGACAGGGTTCGAGCGTTTATTGTAGCATCGGTGATGAAGTCTACTTAAAATGCCTAATGGCATGAGATGTTGTTATCGGAAAATTTAATCAAAGCTCAAAGGGGTTTGCTGGTTGTTCCAGTTGGTTTGGACATGTTGAATTTGATTTACTTTTTGTATAGTCATCTTTGGAATCAGTTAAATGCGGATGTATCCCTCTATCCTCTTGTTTGAGTTATAATACCCCCACATTTTTCGCGTCAAACTTCGCTTGCGAAATGTGCCCGTACGTGAGAAAGAATTTCCGAACTGTTGAGTTCCCGAATCGCTCAGAGCGAGAGGAAGAACAAAGATGGTCCGACAGTTAGATCCCTGTATGTTCGAATGCGCCCTAAACCACATGACATAAGGGACAATCATAACATCATAAACGTTCAAGGCCAATGACACTGTCTGTTCACCTGCTGACCATTGGTAAACCTAACACAAACCAAAACCCGTGTATGCTTGAGAACGGTACACTTCATGTGAAGTTCTTACTGATATGCAATAAAGTAAAATAAAGAAGCCGCCTCGATTCGCCCCATGGGGGATGAATATTCAGCTACTACACAATCACTCTTCTGTATTGGGAATTTCAGGATAGAAACAAAACGAATGATGATACGCTCCAAATACAAACAAATTAAGCACATTGAACAAAGTTTGAGTTTAAGGCTTTCACTGACAAGATCGGCGTTAGTAAGAAACCATACCAGAAGACTCGTATGTTGTGGCGCGTGCTGCTATCTGATTTTACTTGGAGCGAGCGGTAGATGTAGAGATACATTTACTAATATGAGAGTACAGGGGGTGAGATGGATAGCATTCTGGTAGAAAGTTTCTGGCAAGCCTTGAAGTACTGTGAAATTATGAACTGAACAATGTGTTAAGCGAGATATACCACTGTATCGGCATACGCGTTTGATGGATGTACGTATGAGTTTGAAGTCTTTAATCAAAACACCCATGCTCGGCGAACAGGCGAAATAGAACACCCGGAAAAATAACTATGGATGCATAAATCCGGTGGGGAAGGATACACGAGAAAATAAGACGTTTTATTGCGTTGGGGATAGATAGTATTTTCAAGCGGATAATGTAAAACGTGAATTTTCTGACTGAAACGTTTTGACTACATCGGGAGACCAAAAGAGATTACCGAAGGTGGTGACTCCCAGATGTTTGACGGAGCACGCTCTGGAAACTTGTTCTCTATGGATGATGACATGCTGACAAAAAATCATCACATCAATTTATTTGTCACCCTTCAGCAAAGAAAATAAGACATATTTACACTAGCAATTCTTCGTTCTAAGGTTGTATTGTGAAGACCAGTCGATGAACAGCAAAATGTTATTCATAATTTTGGGGTACATGGAGGAATTCGAAAGCTTCACGCCATACACAACATCATCAGCATACTTAATGAGCAAACAATCATCAAAAACATGCATGGAAGGAATGTAGGTTGTGAACAGGATGCAAGCGAGTAGTAGTAGTAGTAGAATAGTACGTTGAAGAACTCCTTGAGTGGAAGGTAAAAGTAAGTAATTGTAACCTTTATATTTAGCATACTGCAGGTAATGGGTGAAATAATTATGTAATATATTTTGGTGAGTTGCGGCTGAATACTCTTCTCAGAGAAAGTACGAAGAAGTTTTGTACTATCGACACAGTTAAAGGCGCCATTTTAATCAAAGAAACAACCTAACAGGTTTACATTTTCTCGCCAAAGAAGAGACATAATTAATGAGGGATGCCAACGAATCGATGGCCCACCTGGAACTGCAATAGGCAAATTTAGTGGGATCAGGAGTACCCATCTGGGACAAAATCTGATATAAAATCTTTTGTAGTACTTTCAAACCAACAGAAGTGCCGGCAATCGGGTGAAATCTAGACGTTCTCTTGGGATACTGGCCTGATAGAAGCCACCCTCCAGCAGTCCGGAATGCATGGCTGAGTAAAGTACAGGTTGAGCAGGTTGGTACAAACAGAGTCGAAGGACATTGCACATTCTTTGAGCACCACAGATGACAGTCTGTCAGGATCGCGTACTTCATTGGAATGCAGACTGAGGAACGTTTTGAAAACTTCTGTATCTAGTGTAGACCACGGGATATAGTTTTAGTGTCGTGCCAATGGGCGAACGGCTACACAGGCTAAATAGATTCAGATCATTAACGAAACGTAGGTCGAGACAAGCCTCGAGTCTGTTCGGAAAGTTATCGACGTTCTGTAGTCCAAGGGTAGTGAATAAAGGGACATTAAACCTATTAAAGCCACCATCCACGATGCAAAGGGAAGAGTCTACATAATCTAGTAAAGAGGTGAAAAAACTGTCAGTGAACACAATCAAAAGGAGAAACGTATGCGTTACCAAAGTAACGGTTCGGTACTTACTTTGGTGTTAGGATCTACGTTTGTATAGAGAAGTACTGGGAAAAAACTTCTAGATTTCACAAAACATTGTTCGCCTGGTTTTCACCAATCGTCATTTATGAATGTGATAACACCCCCACCTTCATTTGTGATCCGGAACGGGTCGATCAACTCGGTAGATGGAAAATTGTCGATTTTGACAGGGTTACCATCAATTTCATTGTGTTCTCCTAAAGCATTACGACTCCTAACTTTCAATATTCGCGTCTCCTTGTCAGATCTTTTACTTCTGTCATATTACCGCTGATGATTGCTGGAATGCAGATGTCTGAGGAGGAGCTTTTTCATAATGTGACCTGCAATCCAGCTCGATGTTTCCTGTGAAATGTTTTGAGATTTCCGTAGATTCTTCTCTCTCCGTTACCAACCGATTTGCCAAAAAAGGTCAAATCCAGTGCCCGGAGTTTTGAAGGTGCTTCATAAAAGCAGTTAATTATTTCACAAAATTTAGGATGATCATAATCGCACAACGTTTCTATGGCAACCAAGGACATGCATCCCAGATAAAATCAAGTGAAGAGTGTTTATGTAGTTCTGCGTCTGATTTAACAAGCCGTGTGGCCGAATTCAAAGGCCTCCCCAGCCGAATAACCAGTTACCAAATACGCTTCTTAAAAATATCCACATCGTTTTTTCCATCCGCCTGGCACGCAAAAGTTCTTAATGGTTGGTTGGGGAAAGGTCTCTTATTTTCTCACGAATATACCTGCTTGATGCGTATCTACAGGTAAACGCATGAAGAAGCCTTCATTTTAATCGGTTACCTGATCGTTTATAATTTATGATGGACTGAATGGAATATCTGTCTTCAACTGATATTCTCATATCTGTTCGTACGCTTTGAGGGAACATCCGTGTAGAACGACTTCATGTCTATGTTGCATATCAATGCCCTCATGTTTGGACGCTCGGCAAGTTTACCGGTGCTATTCTAGTTATTAAGATGATGTTTTCTTAGTGATTGGTGCTTGTCCATCATTTGTGATCCGATATGGTGAGTTCATTGTGCCCAGTATAGGTTTCAGTATTCGAGCGGACAGTTGCATTTAAGGTAGCCATTAAAGGATCACTAAATTTTCAATCAATAGATTCGGCTCCCACCCATTATCTGGTCTACGATTACGTGACTTCCAAGTGAAGTGATCTTTAGCGTCATTGTCACACAGTCATTTAATGGATCGCAGATAGAAAGTTTTTTAACTTACTCTATATTACTATGAAGGTGTGTTATTAAATTGTCCTACCAGTTGACTTTACTTGTCGGACTTTGCATTCAGTATCTCAGTGAAGCTGCGTGATACACTAAAGTATAAAATAGTTAAACCGGTAATCATTAAGTCACTTTTCATTAAATGAACTTTTCATCTCTTATTTACCCACCCCGTGTTTTAATTTGTTTCTCAAAAACTGGGAGCATTTACCCGTATCACATTTGTTCACACAGTTCTCCTCAAGGTTCTGGTCAAAGCTGCGAGGCTCCGGGCGACAATCAAAAGAAAACAAAGCTGCTTTTCAACCGGCGGTCACGAATAACAAGGATGTTGATGATCAAATATCTGGACCTCTGTTGCCTGAACGATTAATGAGCGAACTTAGTCGAGCGCAACGTCTTCGAGGAAGCTCCATCGATCGATCATTCCCGTCCACCGATTCAACCGCAAATGCCACACGAACGGTGCATTTCGGCCCGGTCGAATCACACGCGATCACTCCGGACATAGACTATGTGTCGGACGGTTCGCAGTGGCCTTCGAGTATGAGTTTGCACTGTATTGGCTGGGCCAAAGTTGAACGATCGTATCAGGCTAAAAATCCTGATGAGCTTACTCTTCTCGAAGGTATGATTGTTTTCACCTATTTTTCTTTCACTTTGAATAAATTGACTATGATCAGAAGACTGACCCTCTATTTTCATCAATCACATTGGTAATGCATCTATAATTAAGCATTTAGTCGTTGACGATATAATACATGCATCTGGATGGCTTCAAGCGTTGCTTCAACTGTAGCACTCGATAGTACTAACCCTCTCAACCTCGATCTCGACCTTGGGGGAGGATTTTGATCAAGGAGTCTTTCTCCTCTAATCGTTGTAATTTGCTTGGTTTCTATGAATTCTTCTATGAATTTCTCGAAGTTTACGTTATTTGATAGTTTCCATTCTATATGGCAGCTCTGTCTCTAGATCAACTTATCATATGGCGCCCGTGAAGGTTATTCTTTCCACTACTTCCTTGGCTTTCAGATTACGTCCGCTTTGCTTTGTGTACAGCAAAGTGCATCATGAAATATTTGTATGATATCCTTAGTGGAACCAGTTGAGCGTATTTCAATGTAGGAAAAATGAATTGTATGCACGAGCACACCTTGGTCGTCCATAAGTGAAATACGATAAGGAGAAGTTGTATTATAGTTCCAGTGAATGTCGACTTAGAAAAAGAGTTGATAATCATTTTCAGTATAGTATCTATACTAAAGCTAATATGCATGCAGAAATGAAAGTATGATTAGCGATACCGATAATGAGGAATAACTTCAGAAATCTGGGAAATAAGACATTGTTTGAGATGAGGTGGACAACTACCGCTTGTCTGAGATCTTCAGTGAACACGATGACAGGGTGACGCTTCATTTGGATTTCGTACCATATAGATTCAGAAGCTTCATAAAATTCGGTGGTTTGTAGTGATCTTTTCTTTGCGATAATAATCTCATCATTTCCTCACCGATTGATGAAATCACATTTGTCATTTTTCCTACGGTTTGAAGTTTAGTTTACTTTATTCTGTTTGTTTTTTATAATGCTTCCCACTAATTATTGCTATTCACTGTTTTTTTTGTTATGCTGTTTTCAGGTGAAATCGTGAGTATTTACAAAAAAGATAGTAGTGATTGGTGGTACGGAGAAGCCAGTGGAGCTAAAGGTCGCTTCCCAGTCAGTCATGTGGATGAATTCTGACATAATACTGCTATTGAAAAACTTACTTTTTCAAGTTGAACAAGATATTTGCTGATCATTTTTATTTTATCCACCTCTCCTCTCAAGCCCACATAATTTCCTTCTGTTTCCTTCTCACAGATGCTTTTAGCATTTAGAGTTTCATGTTATTTTATATCGTTCTTTTTCATTGCTCTCCTTAGGTTTCTTGCTTTCCTCTTTAGTTTCCTTGCCTATGACCACTTCTTTGGTGTTTTCCTTCAACTGCTTCTTCGGCTTGCTAGCCTCTCTTTTACCTGTTCTCTTTCCCAAACTCATTCCTACTACTCATGAGTAGTAAAGTGTCGTACGATGAAATCACGGTTTACAAAAGGTTATGTGAACCTTCTCTTTGCCGGTTACCCTACCTGCTATCTTTATATTATTTTCCTGGTTGGTTTATTTTGGATCTCTCTTTGGTAAATATATTCAAATGGCGTCATTGTACCTTTTTGAACTGTCCGCAACCAATAAACATCTTCGATGATTTACATGAATAACTCGTTATAAATGGTTGGACGACTAGTTCAGTAGCAAATGTTACTTTTTGTGGCAACATTCCTCTGTCTAAACATGTCTTTAACGCAGTTACTTCATTAAATTTGCCAATACTTTGGCTGAATCAAGGCTAGCACAACTGTTTGGGGCATGTTTCATCTAAATATGCGTGCCACTTAGTTTCTGGAAGACATTTTTAGCCTTGAAAAATTGCTGCAAACGTTTAAAAGCACCCATATTCAGTTCAGTTCATCTTTCACATGATGGAATTTGACCCGGGCTGATCGTGTATCCAAATAGTTATGATGTCTGTCGGTCTTGTGGCTTCCAACACTGCGAGTAAGTAGTTTCTGTCAAAGGCAGAATGCGAGTTGCAGTGTTACGTCCTAGGTTGTGGAGCCTATATAGAGATTCCTACAAACCGTTCGCCTGGACTATTCCAATTGGGTAACACGCCACATGCAAAAAATCTTTACATCTATGTCCAACGTCACCGAGCCACTCTGCAGCCTAAAACGGTGGAAATTGTTATGAGGAGTTGGAATGTGTCCTCAAATTCGATCCGGGAGTGATTATTTGTAATCCTTAAATGTCGATGTGGACCCCCTCCCCCTATTAACTTTCCCAGAAAGAACATTTAGGTCCTTGAGCCTCTACTCATAACTCTTGCCTTTCTCTTCCTCTATCCTCCACGTGGCTAGTCTGCATTATTTTTCGACATTCGATGTCTTTCCGACAGTAAGGTGCCCATGCCTGAACACAATATTCCAAGTGTAGCACGTCTGTAGTCTTATACAGAACAACAATATCCTCGGGTTCCCTGCACGTAACCCTGGATTATAACCGAAAGAGTTTCCCTACCAGCTATTTTAGCTGCCCTTTGACATTTTTGTGAGGGCTTCAAGTCTTACGATACAATGACCCCTAGGTCTTGTGCTTCGCTCTCTCTCTTGAGATCAATTTAATTCGGATTACCAAGTTTAACTCCTGTGGTAAAAAGCTGGCATTTGGATAGGTTAAGAGGAAGATCCCACTTGCACACATTCATTCTGCCATCTCGAACATAATGCACGGGTTGTTGATTTTCCGTGATGGGGCATTAATGACCATTACTACTTATAATAATGGTATATTTCGTCAAGCCCGTAAAGCGTACTGGAACAGTGCCCAACACTGATCCCTGAGGCGCGCAATTTGTCATGATTTCCGCCATCGATAATTGCGTACTAACGTTGAACTGAAGACAGGTTTATTAGGAAACAATTTATCCACTCTCTTACTTTTCCCCCGATTCCCAGGACATTTTATGATCTAAACCCGGATGACTTACGTAGTCGAAGACTTTGCCCGATTCCAAATAGCAGACCTCAATATACTGGCTCTGGTCTAAGCGTCATCATCAAAAATGCTGGCAGATTCGATAAGCATTACTTCCCCTTAATAAGAACATGTTTAGTTGACCTATATATTCCCCTGTTTCACCAGGTAAACACCTTTATGCTAACATAGTGTGCTTTCCAGACATCTGCATAAGCCCGATGGAAGGCCTACTGATCAGTATGTTTTAGCCTTCTACCTGACCACGCGCTGTTTTCTAATCTCACAGTATTAATCAATTATAAAACGTTGCCTGAAACAGATTGGGCCGAGGGCTCTTGCGAATCTTCACATGAGGTTTGACAATAGCGGGATTACTACCCTACGATCCGTTACGAAAAACAAACTCTTGTAGAACTTCGTCTGATATGACTGTTATTTCGATCAAACGTATTTTTACACTGGGATAACCTGACCTGCTTGGAATGCCAAACTGTACCGACTGCCAGTAAACTCCTTCAAAGAAAGTAAGAAGCGTATTCACCATCTCTTTCCTATTCAGAGCAAGTCGTCTAACAGGGTTTTCTAATGCTCCCATTTCATTTCTTGATACTCTTGTCTGATTGAAATTAAGCATAGAACTGCTTCAGGTTCTCTTTTGCTCGTATCGCAATCGTGTGTTCATAATCATACTAGGCATTGCGCTGCGAGATCGTCACTCCCATTTGAAGCCTCAGTAACCGCAACTACATCTGCATCTGCTAATCTGGTCTTAATCCCCCTCCCCCATTTTTCCCGGAGGATGCAGGTATTTGTATACCAGATTGCAACATCGTAGGGCTTTGTCCGTATCTGCTCAGGCTTTGGTTGAGGAGCCCTAGGCGTTATACTCTAGAGATAGAAACGTTTTTCATTTAACGAGGTGGTGACTCCTAGATCACACTGGAATCCATTTTATGCTGTCTTTTTTAATTCGAATGTCCTCAGCACTTAATCCAGGCGTCGTCTTGTCCCGTGAGTTAACCGAATGCTGTCCCTCCACTGGTGCCTCCTGCACTGAGAGCATCGGTCTTGCCGTCGGACCATTCGCGACTGCGCTTGCCCAGCTAGTTGACCTCCTAGGACATTGAGCGTTTGGCCTCATCGTCGCTGCCGGGCTGGAAGCGGTTTTTGGATTATCGGATGGAATCTTGCTCTTTTTCTGCAAGTAATGTTTTGCTTTTTACTGATTTTACCAACTTTACCTCAAGTGGCTTCCTTCATAGGCCTCTTGGGTTCGGTGGAGCTAGTCTGGCCATCAATGGCTTTCACATAATCATGAGGAAACTACCTACTAATGGTACCTACACTTTGAGCCTTTATAATCGGTCTTAGTGCGGGAACATGTATATTTACTCCCCCTTCCACTGGTGAACTTTGTGAGCCTGAGTTCGACGTGATCCTAACAGGATTACCTGTGGTTATTTCTACCCTCGAGAGGACGACCTCCCTAAGGTGCACACCGGAGAAGACCGCAAACAGCGACCTCGACCCACCCACTCTGTCGTGTTTCCATAGGCCAGTGGGATGAACGTTGATATTTGGAATGCTTGCAGGCATCCCAACCATTCTAAAGATATTCTGCAGGCACATTCTGTCAGATTCTAGCCTAGTATTGCTTCCACGTGTAAACGGCTCTCAGATCGTGGAAGATTATATTATATTATAACATCATTTGGGTGAAGTTCCTAACCATTTTAATTATCTCTTGAGGACTTCCGTTTGCGAAATGAGAGCTACTACATCCTCAGGTGCTTCAGCCGCCTTACATGGTCTGTGGCTTCCATTCGTCTCAAACTTTGCTCCCTCAGTCCTCCTCAGATTGCCTAATCCTTCATAATCTGGAGCATTATTGCGCGAAAGCCTTGCAGCGATCACACGCACAAACACATACACTTTAGTTTCTTATTCTGAATATGGATTAAGATGTCCAGCTGCAACTCTCACATTCATCTTTTTTAAATGAATTGGTCACGGCTGATAAATTCAAATATTTTACAGGATTTGGTGATGATGAGGTTATCTCCAATCATGCTAGACATCTAGCCTCTGGGGTCATGTTCTGTTTTGTTTAATAGGTGAAACAGTAGAAACATTTTACGAAACATGGCATGAGATATTGTTGTCATGGCATGCAATCGATTAATCTAAAGAGAGATCCAAACTCATATTAGTCAGTTTCAGGGAACCTGGACTTTAAGTCCGTTCTATGATATTAATTGAGATCAGCTCGTTGTAAACATTTAATGAAGTAAATAGATGTATCTGTGTCCGTTTGTGGTTTTGCTTGAATTTCAGCATTATACACTTTCCTTTTGCAAATTTTACTGGTGAAAAGTATACGCATAAGTGGGAAACAATGTCCATGTGAAAAGGTTAGTCGCACGGACAACGGTGAACTTCATCTAACCTGACTACTGGCAAGCAATGAAGTAGTCAGTGTATCAGAATGTCATTCGCCATGTTCGACACCTCACGGCAGACCTAAACTGTTTAAAAATTTTCCCTTAAACCTTTAAGCAATATATCTGATGGTGCATCATGGTTTGGAAAGCGTAACGGAATATGGATACTGCTCGGAGGGCAGCGGGTGGGGGTGAAAGTAGTCTATTTTTGAATTTGAATCGTCATTCTGGAGACCGGGTCCAACCGTTGAAAACGTTTGAAGCGATGCTTGAATGATACTGTGGTACGCTACAGTTCATAGCTGAGTTAATCTGAGTTCTGTTTCCCGTTCTGAACGACCTGGAAGCAACGACAGCTAATCATAATCCCATCAACACTTGTAGTGCCTTCACACAGATCGGAAACACATGTAGAACCACAAAATAGAGTAATACGAAGCACATGGAATTACAGCGGTTCAACGTGACTCACGGGGGATGCCAATAAAAGTAATAAAAGTTAATAAAATCAAAAGTCTGTCATTTCAACAACTGCATCAGTTTTCGTCTTGATTCCCTTTGATCTCGTTTTGGTCTTCTTTCGGCTGCTCATGCCAAATTGATGCTGAATTACCTGAAAGGCAATCGGAAGGGAAATTATAGTTAGGAGCGGCAGGTTCGGTCGGCCTCGATACACTAAAATACGTCTTGTAAGATACTCTGTCGTATTTTCACCTTTCAAAT